ATCACCCATTCCTTTGGTGGAAAAGACTCATGGCTGAGTAATTTACTGGAATTCTTTTAGGGGAGAATACATGAATATGATTTAAACCTTCAAAAAGCCTTTGATATGGCTTTCTTTTTTTTTTTAGTGGAGTCACTCTGGGGTTTGGATACCTGCCATAGCTGATACATTGCTTCAAAGACAGAAAGCAACACATAGCAAGAAGGTGATGTGGCATGAAGGTGACTCTGTTCCTTCCCAGCTGAGTGACCTTGGGCAATGTACTTAGCCTCTCTGTGCCTGTTTCCACATTTCTAAAATGAGGATGATAAAAAGAGCATCTATCTCATAGGGTTGATGAGAGGATATAGGGAAAGTGAAGGAGAATGGTCAGGGCACCTCGGATGTTTAGAATCTTGCCGGGCATTTGATGTAAATATGCACATATGCCCGAGTGTTCCTTGGTTATTGTCTAATATAATTGTCTATGTGCACCCAGGTGTTCCTGGATTGTCTGTGTCGCACCCAGGTGTCCTGGGTTATCAGACTTAAGTATAAGAAAAAAAAAAAAAAAAAAAGGGGGGGGGGGGGGGGGGGGGAGTGTAGTGGGGACAGGGCCACGGGGAGGCCAGTACTGCTGCTGGAGGCTGTTGCTGCCAGTTGTTGCTGCCAGGGCCCCCAGGCCCCACCAGGAGGCCACCGCCACTGTTGCTGCTGCTGCTGAGGAAGCCAAGGACTGAGCTCATGTCGTCTGCCGATGGCTCCCGGGACCTTTCCCAATTACCTAGCTCATGGACCTGTGTGTGAGGGGTCTGGTGACCTAGCCTGGCATGGGAGAGGTCTGTGACCAAGTCTATACAATGGGTCTGAAGGGTCTGTGAGCCCTAACCTGACAATTGGCTACATTGGCAGGATTCTGACAATAGCCCTAGCAATACAGAGAATTAAGCAATTTCATATATATATGCTTAGACAGTGCCTGCCACAAAAGAATTGCCATACGTGTTTATCATTAGTATTATTCTTTTGCAGAATGTAAAGTAGAAGTCCCTCCAGGGATCAGGACATGGCCAGATTCTTAGTACCCTTGTACCTGTAATCAGAGATTGCAAGCACAGAGAGAAATCTCCATGTCTACCAGGGCCATTGAGTTCCTTCATGAGCAGGACAGAGCCCTGGAGAGGTCCAGAGCATGTGATTGTTCTAACCAGCCTTCTAGGCTGTGGCACTACACAGCTCAGAAGCAGGCCCTGTCAGGAGTCCATACTTGAGGTCCAAGCTCCAGCCCCAGCCCTACATCCCTCCCCAGTTCAGAAGCCAACACAACTGCAGTCCCAATAGACTTCTCATCTCTGCCAGCTGATCCCTCCCTTTCCATCTCAGCAGTCTCCTCAGCCCAGCTGGGCCGTGATGACCTGCCTTACTTTCGCCCTCTCACCTCCCTCTCTCTCTGACACTCTCTTCCTTCCCACTCCCGCCCTATAACCATCACCTCCCTCTAGGTTCTCACTCCTGGACAGGCTCAGGCCAAGGAACAAGGGTCAACGAATCAAACACATAAGGCCCACGGTGCAGAATGGTGAAGGAAACGGAACGCCCTCACTGTGTGACCTTTAGCAAGACAGCTCTCCTGTATCACTAATGAAATAAAATGTTTGGACTAGATGGCTGCTAAAGTCCCTTACCAACTTAAAGCTCTATTATTCTTTAGAAGAGGTGGGACAGGATTAGGAGCTACAGGGAAATTGAGAGCATGGGGTCCATGCAACTGTACTGTGTATGCGAATGCTGCCTGTATGTTCATTCTGCATAGCTCAATGTCTATAGGTAGCTGTCTCTGAGTAGAGCAATATGATTGCATCCAGGTATATGCACATCTCCAGGCATCTGTGCAGAAGCATATATACATGCACATGTGACTGTGAGGATTCCTGTATGTGTGATTATACGTACAACTGTGTGTATATGTATGCATATGTGCTGCAGAGGGGGATTTGTGGGTGCACGGGGATGTGAATGCAGTGTGGGCATGAGTGGACCCTATGTGCTGGTGAGGCAGAGGCCACAGCAGGAGAATTGGCTAAGGTGGGGTAGTGATGGCAGGTGCTGCTGTGACCCAGTCTATACAATGGGTTTGAAGGGTCTGTGAGCCCGAACCTGACAATTGGCTACATTGGCAGGATTCTGACAATAGCCCTAGCAATACAGAGAATTAAGAAATTTCATATATATAAATGCTTAGACAGTGCCTGCCACAAAAGAATTGCCATACGTGTTTATCATTAGTATTATTCTTTTGCAGAATGTAAAGTAGAAGTCCCTCCAGGGATCAGGACATGGCCAGATTCTTAGTACCCTTGTATCTGTAATCAGAGATTGCAAGCACAGAGAGAAATCTCCATGTCTACCAGGGCCATTGAGCTCCTTCATGAGCCGGACAGAGCCCTGGAGAGGTCCAGAGCATGTGATTGTTCTCCACATGAGGGGAGGTACCCTCAGGATAGGAAGCCGTTGCTCTTAACCCTTGGGCCGACCTACCTTCCCCTCAGAGATTGCAAGCACAGAGAGAAATCTCCATGTCTACCAGGGCCATTGAGCTCCTTCATGAACAGGACAGAGCCCTGTCCTACTGTCACTCTAGATCCAGCTGGGGCAGAGGGAGGTCAGCTGGCCTTAGACCTTATACAGCCTTCTTCAAAGGTGCTCAAAACCCTTCTAAAGAATTCCAGTAAGTGACATATTAATGGCATCTCTATAACTCTTACGTTTTAAGCACTTTACATACAGCAATATCTTTAATACCTTTAACAACCCTATGATAGGTACTATTCTATTTCATAGATAAACTTTGGCTCGGAGAGGCTAGGGAGGAAAATAAGAGGGGAAAATGAGTCTTTACCATTTAGATCTGGGGAAGGGTGGGACTGAGGCCCCGAACCAGGTGAAGAGTTTGGTCAAAGTAGGAGCAAGTCTGAAAACAGAATCCAGGCCCTTCCTTCCTCACTCCAGGCTAGTCTGGTTGAGATCTTGCAGCTGAATCGCAGCAGGAAGAACTGCATTCAGACTCCACGAGAGACTGCCAAGGGGTTACATAGGATGAGACTTGCTAATGGTGGAAAAACAGGGTCCAAAACATCCCAGGACAGGGCATATCAACAGGACCACAGAGCCCCAGCCACCTCGAGGGGCTTGAATAGAGACACAAACACAGCAATGTTAGCATCTAACTTACTACTAAGTGTGAGGCAGGCATGGGAGCCAACAGAGGACTGACTCTTTATGATCCCTTCTGCTGAGAAGCAGTGACTGAACCGGCAACAACCCTCCTCCCTTCAGAAGTCACCCTGACTCACAAAGGTTATAAATGGGCTGGCGAACGACTCTCCATAAAAGCACCAGACAGTTCTCTTCCATCCCAGGCTGGAATGTGGCCCACAGCCAGGGGAGCCTCTCAGAGAGTAGGTCCCCAAACCACAAACATTGCTAGTGACCCACATGACCCTGGCCCAGGAAGAGACTCAAACCTGACTCCAAAGTCCCCAAGTCCAAGCTTATGGTTTGGAAACGGAAATGTGGGCAATCACTCCTCCTCACTGGTACAGGTTGCAGAATGCACACCCCAAATCCTGCCTACAAGTCCTCGGTGATATTTCTGTCTGCACTTCCCACGAAGTTCCTTTGTTGACATCATCGTCACAGCAGCAGCTGGAAAAAACTGGCCTTGAAAATCATAGAATTGCATTACCTCCTAGCAAAATGCAAGGAACATGGAGCTGGACTAGAGAATTCTGCAGAAGGGAGGCTGTGCTTTCAGGCAGCTGTTTTGCATTGGGAGCTTTAGTAAGAATATTTATACAGTTGATATAGGTCAGCACTGATCAATTGGGGCTGATGTGTGAGCCCAGTGGGGCCATGTCCCCTAACCCTCTGGTGGGTGGTATTCTGCCAGCCAAGTTTTAGTCCATTCCTCTTGCATGAGACTGTTCTGTTTACCCAGGAAGAGGGCCATTTGCATACCTATTCTCTGGGCAGTTATCCAAAAGAACACAGTAGACACTCTGGCACTTGAGTACCTTAAAAGGTAAAGCCAGGACCTCTGGCCCATTGACACACCCTAGCCCTACCCAGGGACATAGAAAGCAAGAACAATTGTTCCTGAGATGCACTGATGATGTAATCGTTTGTGCAATAGAAAAGAATGTGAGCTCATTGAACAGAAGCTTCTCTTGGGCCTGTGTGACAAGGAGAGAGCCCAGAAACCCACCCCCCAAACTGGTCTATCTTCTGCTGGTCTAGTTGCCTTGTGAAAACTTGGACCAAACCACACCATAGATCTAGAAGCAGAGGCAGAGCTGGAGCCCCCATCTGATTCCAAAGCCCATGCTTCCCTCCACCCATGGTATGTTGTTCCCCAGGCCACCACCAGACCCAGGCCTGGGCCACGCAATTGTGTTTGTATCCCCCAGTCCCAATCTGCAAGAGCCATCTTTCCCAGAGCCTGTCCTCAAATGCCCTGTTGCGACAGTAGATGATGGCTGGCCCTCACCCCTCCCACTTTCTTCTCTTTATGGTCTGTGTCCTTGTTCACGACCTGCCTCCTCACCTAGAACATCATCTGCAGAGAGCCAGGACTTGGTGTCTTGCTCACCATCGTGTGTCCCCAGTGCCAGCACTATGTGGGACCCTGGGAGGCCATTTAGTATTTGTGGAGTGCATGAATGGAGGAATGAATGCAGTTCTCAGCTCCTCTGCCCAAAAGAGCTGACTCTGGCCCCCAGGCTAGACACTCCTGCATTAATTAGCCTCTTCTCTCTCTTTCCCTGGGGCCCTCTGACTCCCCCTGCCCCTCATCCTAAAGATCCTGGTTCTGTAATATCAAATCACCTCAGATTAAGTCACGTGGATACACACCCCACGGGGCTGGCAGGGGGGGAGTTGCTTCCTGGTACTGTTCCCCTTCGCGCCCCCAAATCCCGCCGCCGTAGTTGTCTGTGCTCTGAGAATAGCCCAGAGAACCAGGTTCAAACAGCTTGGCCGTTCAGCACTGCAGACTTTTTTATTGCAAAGGAGTCGTCCTGGGAAACAGGGATAGGGGGAGTTCAAAGGGACAGGTGCTGGGTCCAGGTAAGCCACAGGCCATGCCTACCCAATGGCCCCAACGTGCAGAATTTCTCTGCACAGGTGACGGGTCTGACACAGTTTTGTAAGCTACGCTCTAAGACTTTACGCTCCGGGGTTGGGGGGGAAGAGAGAGGGGCAAAGTGAGAGCCAGCTCCATGGGAGGGTGCGTCTGAGACAAGAGGGCCAAGTCTTTGGGGCAGAAGCTGAGGGTCCTTGTCTTCTCCGGAGCGGGGCGGGAAGGATTCAGCATCCGCGGGAGCCGCTGCAGCTGAAGTCCCCGGCACAGCCGGGGCAGCCGGAGAGCGCGCAGCCGCCGCCAGGGGCGCTCGTCTCCTGGGCGCCGGAGCCGGCTCCAGGCGGGAGCAGGCGGGCCG